ATGGAACATTTCACAATTTGTATTTATGATGAAATAATTGCAGCCTTGGTGAGCAGAAGAAGCTTAGTTTAACATATTTAATCATACTGACCCCAAACTTTTGACCAGTTGTGTATAGAATATTTTATAAGCAAAAATGTGCACTTTAATTTTAACAACCCACAGACATCGTCACCAAATACAAATCAGAGAGGTCAGACTTTCTTATACAGAGCCTCATTTCAATTGTCAGGTTTTGTAAAAATCAATCTATTGAATTAATTAATCTATTAAAGAAACGTTGGCTAGAATTCTGCATTTTAGGCTTACATTATAGAGAGACATAGCAGATGAACCGAGACTGCATCAGATCGTGAAGATCAATGTTGATCTGTCTTTCGAGCTGTCAGAGCGAAAATGAACAAAACAACTGGCCTAACACAACATATTATATGATTAAAATATGGAAAAATTATCAGATATTAACTTCGGTCAATTTTCCTGACGGATAAACTGAGATCAGGCTGGATAAACAGCTCTCGGTAATATTTCAGCATGCTTTCACTTTCGCATTTACCGGTAAGAATGACATCTCGCCCGCTCATCATTCTCTCTTCATATAGCCGTATATATGGCTATTACACAATCATAATACACTGTGATATAGCCTGGGTGGTTAGTTCGTTGCATTGTTTTGTTTTCTCACTACAATAGATCCGCTCAATAGGGCAGAGACTGTCTCATTCAGGTGATCTCGGACTGATTGATTTGGCGCGGGTGCGGATGCGGGCGCGGATGCGAGCGCTGAGCGCAACTGCTGGATATATGCCAAACAAACTAACGGGGGAAACGTGACAGATTCCGAAACAAACGTCTATGTGTGAAAGCACCGTAAGATTGTATTTGCACACAATTGACAGACAGTCGCAGCACGCAGCTCTGGCCCGATCGGGCCAGTAACATTCTGTACACTGGCCCGAGTGTCTCGCTCGCATGCCATCGGGCAGTCCTTATTGTCGAGCCCTGTATATGGTTGTATTATTGTTAATATGTTCGTCAGTTGAAATGTTTGGCACAGATGTTATGTATTTGGTGCATGTAAACCTTGATTGAAACATAATCAGACCGTGATAGTGCAACTAGCACATGCGCACTGAGTTGTTCATGATTAACCTGGATGCACGAGCGCGTTGTGTTCACGTGAAGACCCCCCCTTCCCCACCCCACACTGGTCTGTTGTAAAATTGACAACCATTGACCGGTCCGCGGTGATAAAAAGGTTGGGGACCACTAGGTTAGAACACAAACGAGCAACAGGTAATGAAGTATTAAACATTTCTCCCATAGGAAAGCCTGTCTAAGCAGAATGCCAGCATGCATCTGTAGCTTCGCTCACGCTCCGCCTCTTTGCCCTTATTTGGTATCCTTCGGTTGGTGTGAAGACACGCGATCAAAAAGGTGACGGTTGGCCACACCTACTGTTAGCTTCTTTTGGGATCTTCATAAACCTATGGATGACATCACAGATACTACGTCCATATCTTTTGCAGTCGATGTTTGTAACAAGGGAAGCACTAATTCCTTTGATTACTTGTTACTGAAAAAGTATCGCTGTTAGAAACGTCATTTATTAATAGCGCTGTTATTCCCATTACTGCAGATGCCACATCCATAATGCTGGAATTGCTCATATCCAATGAATTTTTTTATACTCCAATATTGTTAATCAATATTCTTCAGGCGGTTTACGCATTCACACACTTGGTAAAAAATATGGTGTACACTCCTCTCTCCGGCAGCAGTGGCCATTTTGAGAGTAAAACTCGGAAGAAACGCAGTAAATGAGCAGACGCTGAATGATGTATGAGCTCTTCTGCTGGCTATCTGTCATTCATGCTTTCTGACAGCAGGTGCTCAGAGCATCATGTGCTGTGATGAACTCCAAACGTCATCGCACACACTCGCACAAAACATCAAGACAATGCGCTCGCGTGTATGAGAAACACACACTTCATTCAGACCATTCATTCTGCAGTTCATTCAGCTCAGGGGGATTTCTCTGCTCTTTTCTTCAACATTTTTAAGGCCAGGACGGTTTTTATAAAGGAATTAGCTGCTGTTTTTTCTCTCAGCAGAGGTGAATTACAGTTATTAATTGTGACATTAAAGACGAGCTTACATCAATGGTGGAGTTGTGATGCAAAATGTCAAAACTTTTAAATGTGCTCAAGAATATTAGAATAAATACTCAGGAAGACATATTCAAAAATAAGATGTTATGACTGCTGCTTTTATTTCTGTTGACCTTAGAAAAATAAATAAAGGGAAAATAAAATAACGATGAATTCATTCATTCATTCATTCATTCATTCATTTTTCTTCGGTTTAGTCCCTTTATTAACCAGGGCTCTCCACAGTGGAATGAACCGCCAACAATTCCAGCATACATTTTACATAGCTGCAACCCAGTACTGGGAAACACAAATACACAGTCATTTACACATAACACGCACACACACACGCACGCACGCATGCACACACGCGCACACATACACACGTTTGTTTTTGTGAAAAGTGGGGACATTACATAGGTTTCCATTCATTTTATGCTGTCCAAACCATATATTGTATTGTGTTTGCATTTAAGATCCAAAAGTGCTCAAAGTTGTATTTTGGTGTGAGGATTATCCGGCTGGACAAAACGTGTAAGTGTGATGAACAATGTTTGAACACAGAGCTTATTATTTGCGATCTTTGAAAAGCTGATGGGAAAATCCTATAGAGATTGTATCGAGGGAGCCAGTTTTATGCTAGCAGCCGATTAGTCTGCAAGATGACGTCATAGTTCCTCCACTCTATTAAACCCGAACCCACCCAAACTCGTCAGGTCCTGTCGGGTTCCTTCGGGTTTGGGCAAAGATCTTCAGCTGTAATGTACAGCTCTAATTAAGCATTTGATTGCTTTCCTAACTTTTTATGCTCATTTAAAATTAGTTTTGTTTAAAAAAAAACCCACCAATATCGACATATTTAGATATTATTATTATTATTATTATTATTATTATTATTATTATTATTATTATATTGTGTATTTGTCTGTTCAAACATGCACTGCTCTGCTTCATATCGAGTGTACAGAATCTATTTGGGAAACAGCGTCTATTCATCACTGTGGAGCACAGCTGACAGTCACGCACCGCTACATGAACTGACTGTTTTGCACAGGAGGGGCGACGGCACCTGTAATGGAAGGAAGGGAATCCCGCCATTTTTATATTTATTTTAAAGTGTAAATAAATTTATTTTAAATAAAATAAATTTAGCTTAACAAATTAAATAAAAATCATTAATAAAATTATTTTAAAGCAAAAAACAAATTGAATAAAACTAAATTAAATTTAATTAATAAATTAATACAACTATTTTACTTTATATAAAATAAAACGTACTTTAATACATTAAAATTACATTTGAATTAAATTAATTAATTGAATCAAATTTGTTTTGTTTTATTTAAAGAATATTAGGTTTAAAAAATTACTTACATTTAATTAATAGAAAGTACATGTTTTTGTTTTATTTTAAATAAAATACATTTCAGTTTAAAAAATTAAATAAAATTAGTAAGTTAATATAAATTATTTTAAAGCAAAAAGCAAAATGAATCAAACTTAATTAAATTTATTTAATAAAATTAATTAAATGTACATTTTTGTTTTATTTTAAATAAAAAATTGTTTACTAAATTGAATAAAATTTATAAATAAATTAATACATAAATAAATATTTTTTGTTTGTTTTATTTATATAAAATACAATTTAGTTTAATAAATTAAATAAAATTGAAAAAAAAAATTAATAAATCTAATTATGCTCATTTAAAATTAGTTTTGTTTAAAAGAAAACCCACCAATATCGACATTGTCACGGTATGCTGACGGATGAAACAAAAAGGTGGTGGATCCAAGTGCATTTAATGAAAATCGTGCAGAAAACAGAAGAAAACAAGACATCCACAAATCAAAATAACAATTAAACAAACAAAACAAGGAACTACGGCAAGATACAAAAACGCGGCTCAGGAACAACATACCAAACTAAACAAGACAAGCTAGACAAAAGACTCAGTAACAACAAACGGGTGCAGGGTGAATAAATAGTCCAGGAATCAGAACGGGAAACGGAATCAGCTGGGTATATAAACAGTGTAAGTGAAAGCCGGTTGTGTGCACGTGGAATGTGGGGACTTGTAGTTCCTGAACAACTATAGTTCTCTACTAAAGTTCGCTAGCGAACTACAGTGCCTCCTAGTGGACCATGACAGTCATGACAGACATGTTTAGATGTTGTTATTATAATTATTATATTGTGTATATGTCTGTTCAAACATGCACCGCTGTGCTTCATATCGTGTGTACAGAATCTATTTGGGAAACAGCGTCTATTTATTACTGTGGTGCAGAGCTGACAGTCACGCACCGCTACATGAACTGACTGTTTTGCATAGGAGGGGGCGACCGCACCTGTGATGGAAAGGAAGGGAATCCCGACATTTTTATATTTATTTTAAAGTGTTTTCATGCCTAAATAAAATGAAAGCACAGAACAGATTCACTTTTAAAAGCAAGGGGCGTGCCCTGGTTGTTCAGCAATATGAGTAGTGTATAGAGAGGATCAGCTCTTTGAAGTTTATTGCCACCCTTCATAGAAAGGTTAAAAATACAGGGGAATACCTTTACAGGATGATAGTAGGACATAATTGTAAAATACGGGAGAATCCCGGGAAAATGGGAGAGCTGACAGGTATTGTTTGTTATTAGTTCAAGCTAGTAAATACATAAACTAATGAAACAACATTGTAAAGTGTGCTGCAACTGCTTCACATTAATGGCCAACACAATGTCAACAACACAAGCACTTCAATATTACATCTGCAGTGATGCAACACAGCCGTAATCATGTTTACTTCCAACAGACCATGAATGTACAAAAAAAGCTGATAAACAACAACAAGAACTCACCTGCTTGACTAAAATGTTGTCCGCATGCTGGAAGTGCTGCCAATCCTGACCTTTGTGTGTCGAATCTGCGTCTGACCTTCAAATAATCGTCCAGTGAAACAGCAGCTTCAGCATCTCTGAAGGACAAACACACAAAACAGCACAAGAGTTTACATCACAGTCAAGGACAATTGTCAAAATGAAGACACAGATTGGCAAATACTCCACATTATCAGAGTTGGGTAAATGTTGCATTATCTACATTATCAGTGTTAATCTGTGCCCACAGAAAACTCATAAAAAACTAAAACTAAACTAAATTAAAATAATCTAAAAAAAATAATAATAATAAAATAAAATCTACTTTAATAAATTGAATAAGAATAATTTAATAAATTGGATTAAATAACATTTTATTTAATATAAATAAAATATATTTTAAATAAAATAAATTTAATTTAACAAGGTGATTAAAAATCATTAATAAACATTTTAAAGCAAAAAGCAAATTAAATAAGACTGAATTAAATTTCATTAATAAATTAATAAAATGTTTATTTTAATTTTATCTAAAATAAAATGTACTTTAATAAATTAAATAAAATTTAATTTAAATTGAATTAATTTTATTTATTTCATCTAAAGCATATTAGGTTTAAAATTTAATTAATAGAATAAAATGAACGTTTTTGTTTTATTTTAAATAAAATAAAATTTTGTTTCATAAATAAAATAAATTCAATAAATTAATATAAATTATTTTAAAGCAAAAAGCAAAATTAATAAAACTGAATTACATTTAATTAATAAAATGAATTTAATGTACATTTTAGGAAAATAGTTCTATTTTAAATAAAACAAATTTAGTTGAATAAATTGAATAAAATAAATAAATAAATAAAATTTAATTAATAAAATTATTTCAATTATTTTAAATAAAATACAATTATTTAATACATTGAATAAAAGTACATTTGAATTAAATTAATTCATTAGATTAAATGTATTTAATTTATTTAAAGCACATTAGGTTTAAAAAGTAGAATAAATATAAAGTTATAAACTGAATTAAATTTTATTTTTGTTATTTTATATAAAATAAACTTTAGTTTAATAACTTGAATAAAATTGAAAGAAATTAATAAATCAAATTATTTTAAACAAAAAAAAATTTAATAAATTAAAATAAAATAAAAATAAAATAACAAAATACAGAAAGTAGCAGGACCACCCCAGAAAGTAATGCACAAGTCAGTTTCACCAATACTCATAAATCCTTTTAATGAATACATAAGCGTAAGGCGGTTTTTGGAATATACTTCATAACAAAATGTAAACATGTTAAATGAAAAGTCCTTAAAATTATGCAAAAAATGCAAAAAAATAAAAAATAAAAAATAAAATTCTGCTAGATATAGTAATGCAATAATTAGTGTAGCTCAATTAATTTCTATTCCTAATCGAAATTCAATGTATTTAATTTTTTATTTTCTATAAATTGCAAAGCCCTAATCCATACTCCTTAGAAACATCATGCAGTTTTGAGTGTGCACCACACAGGTGAGTAGGCTTGACACACCACCTGTAGGAAACAGTCTTTTGCTCTGTATGCTCAAAGGTAAAAACAACAATCAAAATAAAAAGTAGTTTAGTAAACTGAAAATAAAATTTAATAGTTATGTAAAATAAATTACTAAGAAGGGAATTGTATAAAAAAAATAAAAATTGTTCAAAAAATTGCATTCAATGAAATCAATTATAAAAAAATATAATATAAAATATAGTTTTTTAAAAATAGAATAGTTTATTATAATGAATACAATTGAAGTAAATTAATAAATTATTTTATTTTGTTTTACATAAAATAATATAAATATTAAAAAATAAGTAATATTTTAAAACAAATAGTTTAATATATTTAATAAAGTTGAATTAATTTAATAAATAGAATGAAATTCAATAACTTTACATAAAATAAAAAAATAAATTATATTACTTAAAAATAGTTTTAATAAATTGAATAAAAATAAATATCGCAAATAAATTTATCATACAATTAAATAAATTGTTTAATAAATTGAATAAAATTAAAATAATTGATAAATAGAATTAAATGTTTTTTTTATTTTATATAAAAAAGTTTAATAAAGGGAATCAAATACACACACAGAAACAAACACACACACACACACACACACACACACACACACACACACACACACTAACTTAAGCTTGTCAGCATGTATCTACTATTATCCACTTGTAAGTAGCTTTGGATAAAAAAAAAAAAAAAAAAAAAAAAACATCTGCTAAATAAATAAATGTAAAATACTACTGAGGCTCTTTAAAATTCAGAGCATTATTGATGTTCCTGTGTTATTGTCTGACAAATTTACCACCAATTTCTAAGAGAAAACTGTTTGCATCAACATTTTTTTTCTGTGCTATGTATTTAACACTGCATAAAAGTGACCACACGTGTGTTAAAGCCAAAAGTGTGTTAAATATCTGCCCTCCGAAGTCTGTGATGATTTAATGAACTCAGAAAGCTGTAAAACCAACAGCCCTTAAAATTCAGCAGCAACCTGCACTTAAAGAAATATGAGTTTGATATTCCACCAGTTAATATTCTCATTAGAGCCTCTTTAATCTGCTGGCATCACACCTTTCATTGTCGTTTTATTCTTCTCCCTGAAGTCCACTTGTATTATTATTAAGGTTTTCTCAACTGAAATGTGTTGTAAATTACTTTAACAGTCCATTTACCTGCCTTTTAAAAGACCAGAATAAAAACACTTTATTCTGGTGACCCCGAGGATTTAAAGCAAATGCCATCTGAAATATTGTTACAATCTACACTGACCGGCCACTTTATTAGGTACACACTTTGCCTTCAGAGCAGCCTTAATCATTCATGGCATAGATTCAACAAGCTACTGGAAATATTCCTCAGAGATTTTGCTCCATATTGACATGAAAGCATCTCGCAGTTGCTGCAGATTTGTCGGCTGCACATCCATGATGCTCAATTAGTTCTAATGGACCCAAAGTGTGCCAAGAAAATATCCCCCACAACATTACACCACCACCACCAGCCTGAACCGCTGATGATATTATTATTATTATTATTATTATTATTATTATTATTATTATTATTGATGATTTTTAATAATAATAATAATAATAATAATAATAATGACAATAATGATGATAATAATAATAATAATAATAATAATAATAATAATAATAATAATAATAATAATAGTAATAGTAATAATAATGGTAATGATAATAATAAACAACACTAGTATTATTATTATTATCATTATTATTATTATTATTGATGATGATTAATAATAATAATAATAATAATAATAATATTAATAATATTAGCAATAATAATAACACTAATAATAATAATAATAATAATAATAATAATGATAATAATATTACTACTACTACTACTACTACTGATAATAATAATAATACTAATAATAATAGTAATAATAATAATAATAATAATAATAATGATCATGATAATAATAATAATAATAATAATAATAATAATAATAATAGTAATAACAATGATCATGATAATAATGATAATTATGATAATAATAATAATAATAAT